GAGACTACAAACTCTTTGAGCCCTGAAAGGAAGGCTATTATACGGCGTTCAAAGCATTTATATATTTAATGATTCGTATTCTATATGATTTAATAAAAATTTAAATATATACATTTAGATATATATATACTTAAGAAATATATACATTTTGTATATATTTAAAGAGAGGAAAAGAGAATAAAGCCAGCGGCACACGGTGCTTGTTTCGTGCTGGATTGTTTGCTGGATGAAAATACTGCGTTCTGATTGGTGCATTTCCATCCATCTTCCGAAATGTACCAATCAGAAGTATTTTCTTGCAGCAAGCAATCCAGCATGAAAACAAGCACCGTGTGCCGCTGGTTTTAGAGAGAGCAGAAATTGTAACAAAAAGTTGATCCGTTCTTTTTAACTGCACTGCTGAACGAATTAACTAACTGAATTCGTGCAGAGAGGAACGTGAGAGTGGCCAACACGGTGTTTTTGGCGACACCGACTTTCCGTATTGGGAAAGGACGCCATTTGCACCCATTTTGAGAGGGGAACTCCGTTACTACATCCACTTTCAAGTTTCGGCGGTAAAACTTGCATATGGTGGCAGTCCGTGCTACATCCACTTTCAGGCGGTTTATGTCCGTGCTATAGCCATAATAGCGTACTTGACAAGCACGGTCTCGCACATTGTTACGCGTTTATAACATGAATTAGCATGTTAACATGTGCAAAACAAAAAAAGAATTGACATTGTGTACGACTAATATCAAGAAGATCATACAAAGTGTTCGGTAATTAGCTGCCAACCCGAAATGTGAGGGTAGATTGGGTTGAGACAAACATAAAAGTCCCATACCTTTTTGCGAGATTCGCAATAATTATCGAGTTATTAATGACAGAAATCTGAGGAGTCGGAGCGCGCCGACGTAAATGAGTAGAGAAGCGTTACAGCTGCTCAGGACAGCGATCATGAATTTGTGAATTAGTGGAAAATGAAAAATTTTATATGAATTTATGAAAGTCGAAGCATTTCACATGACAATTGAGTCGTTCAACATGACAGTTGCGTTCTGGATAATTCTTAATAAATATCAAAGAAATCAAAATGATCAAAATAATAATGTTCGTGTAGTCCGAAGGATATTACGTGACACGCAAAATCCGTTTGATATAATATCCAAAGAAAATGTTTCAAAATATGTATGTACAGTAATATAAACCTGTAATGACGTAATATAAACCTAATGCACCGACGAGATACTATAAAGACTGATGGCCTTATGGGATTTAGCGTACCAGAGAAATTTCCCTGGTGAGGCACCCGGGCGAAAGAGACGAGGTTAGGCGACAGAACGACGGCTGACGAGAAATATAATCTAATCGGAAATTTCAAGGTAGTACTCGCTAAATATCCCCGCTATGTCGTCGTTGCAAATTCGAGTGTGTTGTTTTCACACGCGTAAGCCCGTAATTAGCTTAAGCTTTCTTCGCATGATTCTTGCGAGATTTGAAACGACAAAACACGCCCCCAAAAGAAGCTTCAGCCAATCGCACACTCGTATGCGTATAAATAACACATTTGGATTTGCATTTCGAATCTTTCGAAGAAAATCGATACTTGCTCTTCAGGTTTTCATAAAGAATGTTTAAAAACCCCCCTCAAATAAGCAGTATCTGATCTTGAAATTTTTATGGATCACGAAACTTGTAATGCGCAAGTTGGAGGAATGAGAATAGTTTCCTTCGCAGTATTTCATTTCAAGATGGTACGTGCGCTGAGTATTCTCCACGTGCAACATTTTTCGTAGGCACGTCACGGGACATTTTTATCAAGCATGAACGACGAACTTGTGTAAAAGAATTGGAAAACTTTACGAGAAGTATCGTTCAGAGAACATAGGTTATCCGCGAATGTCACTTTCCCCAAACTTATCCGCAAAAATGATCGTGAATGCGGATTAAACAGCCGCGAGAGTAGGTACGGAAGGAAAATCCATGCGGTTTTTGCGACCTCACTGGCAGCAGGCTTTGATTTCTTCTCGTCTTTATCACCGACGAAAGAAGCGCCCATTTTAAAGAGCGATCACTAAAATTCACGACTACTTTGTCACTCTTATATCATCAACTCCTGCTTCAATCTCCTACCCTCGATAAAGTCTCAACGCATGATCAAGCGCGAGTTATGAAGATTCAGTTTCCGCGAAGAAACTAGTCGGGGGGACGTTCGCAATCACGGTGGAATTTAACGCTCGCGTTCGCAAGGGCCTAGCATTCTACTCGTGAAGGGACGCCATCGCCCCTGTTTTCACAACGGTGCGGATGTTTAACTCCTTTCTTCCTTATTTTCCGCGACAACGATACCGCGATGAGGCCCTAACGAGGCAAGTTCGCTTATAACCAACGTTTATGTCAAGGGCGCTTCTCGGGAACATTCCGCTCGAGGGCTTAGTCCGCGATAGAAAGTTTCCTGCGACCGGAGGCCGCTGTGGTTTAAAGTTAAATTGCAGCAACAGCATTGTTATCGGGCAGCCCTGAGACGGGCTGCTGCCATCCGTCCGTGACGTTTGCCGCGCGCCTTTGCGATTATCGGCAAATTCAGTTTTCTCGATTGTTCGCGCGATTTCAAGTGGCCATAATATATGGCGATAATACATGGCAATATGTGGCAATAATATATGGCAACAATATACGGCAACAATATATGGCAATAATATATGGCAATAATAGATGGCAATAATTCATGGAATATATTTTTCGTTCGACAAAAGTCAATGCAAATTTGCGGCATGCACAATGTAATAATACAAGAGCTCTCTGCGAGCATTGAGTCAAACGCTCACCGATGATGATATTGATGATATCCCGTTGCATCCAACCAGATCCACCAATGTCCGCCCATGTCCGCTGCCGCTCTCCATGTCGCGCAGCATCCATCTTGCAGCGCGGCCCACGTTGGTTGCTACACTTTCGCCACACTTCCGCGATGCGATCGATACTTGTATTAGAGCGGCGATATTTGCGTCAATTAACGAACGTTTTACGTCGACATCGGTGGAAACTTTTTACGCGCTGCAAAACGGACTCTATAAACTCGATCGGCGAAGTTCAAGAACCGTGTGAAAATTTATCGACTCGTCCAACGGATTTTTATGGCGCTTTTCGCGATCGCGTCTGAAAAGTCACGAAAATGCGGGAGCACGAAGAAGCTTACGTTCGCGATACTTTGGCGAAATGAGAATTTAAGCCCTCTTTGTTAGCAGCGCGAGTAAAAACGCGTATATTAATAACCGCGGTCGCGATATTCAAAGGCACGTGAGCGAGGATGCCTCAAGCTCGGCGTGCGCTGGTGCAATTTCTGCGCGCATTATACGCTACTCGAGACAATAGGGATTGTGATGAATGGACAATATTGCCAAATAATTCCTCAGCCTGTTTTGGAAATGAAAGAAAAGTAGCCAACGGTATCGACATTATGCGTATGAATATATTTTACACGGACAATTGAATATTGTCAAATAATTGTTGCTAAATAATTCTGCGGCCCGCTTGAAAAATGAAAATAAAGCAGCTGATGATCGTATCGCGTTTGTAGATATGAATATCTCTTATTCAGATGACTGAACATCAAAAGAGAATTATTCGGAATTTTAAATCTCGTATGTAATGCAGACTATCGGTGAAGTAATCCCCTAATTGTTTCGAGCGATGTATTTTATTCAACGTCACAAACACACACATGCAAAATCCCAACATGCAAGAATCTATTTGCAATTCGCATTGACTCGAACGATATTTTATCTAGTCCCACAACCGTCATGCGGAATTCTGTTTCTCTTTTCATTTTATATTTACTCACCGAAACGACTTGCAGTTAGAGCCGGCCACGTTCCGCTTCAACTCTGTAACAAAAAATTCACATTTGCTCATCAGATCAGTCCAACGGGTGCGGGCGAGTAAAGGAGTAGTTTACCCTCTGCGATCGTAATTCAATTCGAGCTGAATCGAGGCGATCTAGAGCTGGAAGTTATATCCCAGCTCTAGATCGCCAAGGGTCAAACAGAGGACTATAGTAAACTTGTAAACTTCCTTCAAGCCGACTCTGCTTGGCCCGAACCGAATCCTCCGGTGCGGTATCCGCGTCCACTGGATTGCTGTTGCTTTCTGCAACAACTGAAACAGAGAAATAATTTTCCCGATTGATAACCTGCGGTAGAGAGAGAATACCTTTGATCGGGACGAATCGAAAATACGGAAATATCTTGATGCGGAATTTTTATCTTTATATTTTTGTTCCAACATTGAAAATTTAAATGGCACTTGAAGCTTTCAAGAGAGCTGATGAGAAACAAGTTACAAAGGCAGAGTTCGTAAAGGGTTGAACACAGATATGTAGGAAACTTGTAAACTTTACCTTCCGGCCGACCCTGGTCTGCCCGAACCGGTTCCTCCGGTGCGGCATCCGCGTCCGCCGGACTTGCTTCCCGCAACGTCTGGAACAAAAATGTCGCGTTCTTGGTTGGTAAGCTGTGGTAGAGAAAGAATCTTTGGTTGGGATGAGTGGAGAATATTCGCTACGATTTCTTTTCTTCATTGACATTGAAAGTCTATAATAGATAGGTGCTCTTGAAAGAGCTGACGAAAAAAGATGACAACAAGAAGCGGAGACAACAGTTGTGTGCTCTCGAAAATACTCTTTTACGAATGGACATTTAAATTTAGATCTCGTAACGAGAGTAAACAGATTTGAAAGAAGCGTTGACCGAAAACAAAAATGGTCGCAGTCTAAGAAGCGGTATGACATTGAATATTCTACACAAGACCGGTATACTCACACAGTTGGGAATTATTCAGAATGTTTGATTGAGAACATGATGAATTAGAGATCCGCGTTTATGGACCGTTATCCGTCTCTGTCTGGATCAATATCTCTTGTATACAACAATGCAATAAATATTAGGTGGTCTAAAAGATATTGAACCTTTGGAGGTCAAAATTAAGAATATATTTATTGTTATTTGAAAATAACATTATGAAACCACATATGCACCATTTTGTTCGATGACCTTCTGCCATTTTTCCAGCAACACCATAATCCCGTCGCTATAGAACTTCTGTGGTTTCTGGTCAAAAAATTGTGACACGTGGTTTTCACAGGCCTCTTTTGAAACTAACTTAACACCATTCAAGGAGTTCTGCACAGACCGAAACAAATGACAGTCTGACGGTACCAGGTCCGGGCTATACGGTGGATGCATTAAAACCTCCCAGCCAAGTTCTCTCAATTTCTGACGGATCGTTAAAGATGTATGCGGTCTGGCGTTGTCAGCATGGTATACGACACCCTTTCTGTTGACCAGTTCCGGCCGTTTCTTTTGAATTGCTAGGTACAATCGCGCTAATTGTCGACAGTACGGGTCCGAGCTTGTGATGCATGATGCCTTCCCAATCCCATCAAACATACAGCATAACCTTCCTGGGCGTCAGTGTGGATTTTGTCACAGACTGTGGAGCTTCTCCTCGCTTCGAACACGATCTTTTTCGTACATTGTTGTCGTAGGTTATCCATTTTTCATCACTCGTGATCAACCGCTTCAGAAATGGCTCGATTTCGTTACATTTCAGTAGAGATTCGCAGATAGAAATTTGATCGAGTAAATTTTTTTGAGTCAGATCATGTGACACCCAAACATTGAGCTTCTTTTTGTAGCCAGCTTTCTCCAAATGGTTTAACACTGTTTGGTGATGGATGTTTAGGTCATTTGGCATTTAGGTCATACTGATATTACGCGCACATCTTGTATATGACGTTCTTAAAAACATAGCGTCATGACGGAAGTTAAGGTGTATTAGAAAAGGTTAAAGGTGCGATATTCATTTATGAACTCATTGTCTATTCGATTCTGCGAAAATATTTAATTAATGAGTCTAACGTACTTCGCACCTTGATTTATAACGTGACAAACCAGAAAAGTTCTGAATATATTTAAATAACAGTTAACTGTATGGAGATGATGCCTCAACGTTAAGGCATCGTCTCCATATATACGGCATATCTTTTTATGACCATCCGCTGCTCGTTTGCCTTTTTTAAAATAATAGAGCAAAATATAATGGTAATACACGTTATTTATTTCCACGTTCACAGCTACAGTACACACAATACTGATGTTAGCCAAACCAAACACAGCACAACATAAACAGTGAAATATAACCTTTCAAATATGTATTCGATTTGCACGATAGCACTGAGAAAAGAAAAGCGAATCCACATGAAACTTACACTGAAATAAAACCGAACGAATTTATTTGCCAACCCAATATATCCGAGCCGCCGTGTGAACGGCGGTGTCGACTGTTCACGGTCCTTGGAGAGGTATTGATTGACGAACTGACAAGCGATCAGCTGAGCGACCAATTGACAGGCGATCAGCTGGGGAACGAGAAAATAAACAAGGGGAGATGAAAGTCGCACTAGAGCTGCTGTCACGGACTGACGTGCGGTCTGATTCCGAACCGATTGTACGATTTCCGCGAAAGAGAGCTTGCACTTGTACAAAGAAAGCTGCTGTACATAAAGCTTCTTGTTTTCCTCCACTAGAGTGTCATTATTTATTCCGTGTGGCAACACCCGACTCGCGAATGCGCGACAATATGTATGTGTATAATTTTTTTCAAGCGAACAAATAGATAGATACACATAAAAATATTTATTTATCTATTTAAAGTCATAAAATTTATAAATAAACACATAAAACATGTGAGAATGCAATATCACATATAAGAGAGCCAAATTGGCTCTAACAGTCCTTTTAGGTAAACAATTAAATAAAAATTTAACCATCTTACATAATTGAAAAATTTTTATACCAAAATTAAGAATATGGAAAATGATGAAAAGTCACAAAAGGATATCACGTGGAGACAAAGTTGAAAAAAGTTATAGCAGTTTGAATTTCGCGAGACGCCAAATTAGCTGCCTCCGTCTTACTTGTGTTAGTGAAATTGCAATGGGAAGTTTTACCACACTCGGCATATTCTTCAGATATTACTCCATCGGATTTTTATTCACTTCATTCTATGTAGCACAGTCTTTCTGGCACACGATTTCGCAATGTTGAGAAAGTGCAACGATTAGGCCATAAATTTATTCATTCTAAGAGCAGACTTCGTGGCGATTTACCGTGGCATTCACCTTTTGCCTGAAAGATAGCAAGAAGTAATCAATTATGCTAAAAAATATTTTGATTAAAGATACTATGTCATTTATGATAATACTAATAAAGAATATTGCCTTAAAAACAATGAAAATTTTTACATTACCCTTAATAAGATGATTGATAAGAAACGTGTAAAAAAAGCTTCAGCTAATTGCACACTTCTACGTATGAAAAAACAACATTCGGATATGCAGTGTAAAAATAGGAAGGCACATAGAACAATTATTGGAAATAGTGTAATAATAAAATAGTATTAACATGATAAAATATTCGTTTGTTTATTCATCGCGTGCAGTCAATAGAAGCACATGTATAACTTGCGTAACCAAAATCGTAAAATGTTTGTAGTTCTTAACATTGTAGTCGATTTTTTAGCTTGTGTTTTAAGTGCTAAGGACTTTTTACTCGCAAGGGGAATATCAGAAATGGAACGTGTTTCTCAAATGCTATTTGTTGCAATAGGCAATCCTTCATGTTTACAATAAAAACCTCAAACATTAGCTTCAGATACTTTTCTTTTACAAATTACAAAAAATATAAAATATAGATGTCATCGAATCGACTAATCGCTTGGCAGTGCGATAGATTTTAAGGAAAGCAGGAAAAGAATGAAGTAGCAAAATGTTACAAGTATTATTTCTGTTTTTAATACTCTGTATAATGGAAGTCTATTACAAGTCAGTCTTTTAGGCTTTTAAATTTTATATAGACATTTTTGTTACGGTAATTTATTTGATATAATCAAACATATATATTACGATAAATATTGTTCTCAACGATGATATCAGAAGACGTGAAAAGCCAACCGATATGATTATAAAACTACTGTCACGAAACACACGCGACAGAATGTTTTTAGATTCATAATGATATTACGCGCACATCTTGTATACAGGGTGCACGATTTATCTGAAGACATTGAAATATCTCGAGAACTATGCATTGGATAAAAAAAAATGGTTAATAAAAGTTGTTAGTCTCAAAGGGGGACATTCAATGATACTAAACTCGACCTCCCACCCCACCCCCTGGGGGTGGGGGTTGGGGGCAACTTTGAAATCTTAAATGGAAACCCCCATTTTTTATTGCAGATACGGATTCTACGCTACAAAATACGTAAATTTTGTTCGAAACTTTTTTTTTTATTCGTGATAGATGGCGCTGTAATCGCAAAAAAATTATATTTTCCGCAATTCTCCAGAAATGATCATTGGATTGAGAAATAAAAAATACCTGTTCAATATTTTTAAAGAACATAATAAAAGTTATTCCCCCCCCATCCTCTCGGGGTAGGGTGGGTGATAACGTTCAAATCTCAAATGGGGACCCACATTTTTCATTGCAGAATTAGATTGTACGTGAAATTTTTATTGAAACAATTTTTTTCATTCGTGATAGATAGCGTTGAATTTTTCCGAGAAACTACTTTTAGCGTTACACAGGAACAACGACGAGGACGTAGTAGTTTTATGTTCCCTTCGGGTGCTTTTTTAATGTGAGTCCCCTTGCCTCTCACTGTTCAATTAATTAGAGTAAGTGTTCGAAATTTTTACCTTCAACTTCAATACACTTATTGATCCTTTTTTCAAATGACTGTACACAGGATAGAAGCATATCTGCGCGCGTTTCAGCGCAAGCGTTTCTTATGCGTTCTACCATGTTTTCACGAGTTGTTGGCACTTGTTGATAAACCTTATCTTTTAGGTAACCCCACAGAAAGAAATCCGGCGATGTCAAATCAGGCGACCTAGCAGGCCAATTAATCGAGCCACCTCTGCCAATCCACCGACCATTGTAATCACGGTCTAATACTTCCCGTGCTGCTATTGAGTTATGCGCTGGGCAACCGTCATGCAGATTTGAACGTTACTACCCACCCTACCCCGAGAGGATGGGGGGGAATAACTTTTATTATGTTCTTTAAAAATATTGAACAGGTATTTTTTATTTCTCAACCCAATGATCATTTCTGGAGAATTGCAGAAAATATAATTTTTTGCGATTACAGCGCCATCTATCACGAATCAAAAAAAAGTTTCGGACAAAATTTACGTATTTTGTGGCGTAGAATCCGTATTTGCAATAAAAAATGAGGGTTTCCATTTAAGATTTCAAAATTGCCCCCAACCCCCACCGCCAGGGGGTGGGGTGGGAGGTCGAGTTTGGTATCATTGGATGTCCCCCTTCGAGACTAACAACTTTCATTAACCACTTTTTTTTATCCAATGCATAGTTCTCGAGATATTTCAATGTCTTCAGATAAATCGTGCACCCTGTATAACGTTCTTAAAAACATAGCGTCATGACGGAAATTGAAGAAGTGCATTAGAAAAGTTTAAAGGTGTGATATTCATTTATAAGCTCATTGTCTATTCGATTCTGTGAAAATGTTTAATTAATGAGTCTAACGTACGTCACATCTTGATTTATAACGTGACAAACCAGAAAAGTTCTGAATATATTAAAATAACTAATTCTATTCTATCTACTTTATGCGACTGAATATACAAATTTCAATTTCCGCGATACTTTTATGCGATGTAGACAGAGACAGTATAGAAGAGAAATAGGTAATTCTTTTATCTGTTGCGTCCTGCGGACTCCGCGTACTCTAAATTCTTTTTATAAGTAAAGCGAATTTTATATTACTCATTATACGTTCAAATGTTCTTACTTAACAAACACGTTCCCACGATTCCTCAAGCATGAGGAATGAGTGGGATGAGAGATAACGTTACATACCGATTTCTCTTTTTTTTGTCCTTCCTTCTGGAAGCGTAATTGCTGAGTTTCTCTAATTTCCTCCAGAAGTTCTACCGAGTTATTTTAGCCAGGCGTTTCCCTTCCAAAATTTTTAATAACTTCCTTCTTCAGAACAACAATTTTCTTTGAAGATGGACCGACCGGTCAATCTCTCATACTGTTACATGACGTGACTAGCCTTTGATTTTCAAGAATTCATGCCTTTTCCACGTCCCTTCATAAATTTTATTGCGCACCAACTCTAACTAAACCTAACGAAACTTTGAAATCTTTTTACTGCCACATGTATCCCATCTTTTACAATATTTATTTTTGAGATACTGCAACGCACCATTGAAATCCCACTTCTAAAAATCATTGCAACAAAGTCCTATGACCATATTTGAATATAAACCTTAGATCCCTGATCAACTTCCAAAATCCTACCCTCTCAACTGAGGTGACGATTTGAGTAAAAAAAAGGCTATGTCACTTTCCGT